GTCAGGCCGCGACACGACACCCAATTCACACAAATCTCACCCCCGCATGGGTTACAGGCGATCGCAACTCACCCAGCTTATACAGAATCAATCAACATACTGACATTAGGTATATTTCTCGGGCGTTTGACCGGGGAGTGGTAACAGTTGTGTGGTGCTTAGAGAAGTGTCCCTTAGAGACTGAACGCAGTGTGTCGACAGTCTCATAGACAGGCAGGAATAGGTTCTATCGAGATTCGAACTCGAGTCGCTGGATTCAAAGTCCAGAGTGCTAACCACTACACTATAGAACCACGAAATGCAATTAGAGAAACTATTTCCGTACTAACATTGTTCAAAAGCCGAGTCCCACAGTAGTTCCTGCAGACTCCGCGGGGTGTCAAAAGCGATCTGTGTGTTTTGCATCTCGTTGTTGTTGTGTTGGCTACCGACCTCTCAGCCGCTCTCCACCCTCACTGGTCCCATCGTGCGGTATTGCCTGCTCTGTTCCCAGCCTTGGCCAGTACCCGCGCCTTCAGATGATCGGATGTGATGACTTCCGCCTTCCCACCCGACCTTAGTGGCACCTTGGGATGGACAGCTGATCACCGGTCAGGCCGCGACACGACACCCAATTCACACAAATCTCACCCCCGCATGGGTTACAGGCGATCGCAACTCACCCAGCTTATACAGAATCAATCAACATACTGACATTAGGTATATTTCTCGGGCGTTTGACCGGGGAGTGGTAACAGTTGTGTGGTGCTTAGAGAAGTGTCCCTTAGAGACTGAACGCAGTGTGTCGACAGTCTCATAGACAGGCAGGAATAGGTTCTATCGAGATTCGAACTCGAGTCGCTGGATTCAAAGTCCAGAGTGCTAACCACTACACTATAGAACCACGAAATGCAATTAGAGAAACTATTTCCGTACTAACATTGTTCAAAAGCCGAGTCCCACAGTAGTTCCTGCAGACTCCGCGAGGTGTCAAAAGCGATCTGTGTGTTTTGCATCTCGTTGTTGTTGTGTTGGCTACCGACCTCTCAGCCGCTCTCCACCCTCACTGGTCCCATCGTGCGGTATTGCCTGCTCTGTTCCCAGCCTTGGCCAGTACCCGCGCCTTCAGATGATCGGATGTGATGACTTCCGCCTTCCCACCCGACCTTAGTGGCACCTTGGGATGGACAGCTGATCACCGGTCAGGCCGCGACACGACACCCAATTCACACAAATCTCACCCCCGCATGGGTTACAGGCGATCGCAACTCACCCAGCTTATACAGAATCAATCAACATACTGACATTAGGTATATTTCTCGGGCGTTTGACCGGGGAGTGGTAACAGTTGTGTGGTGCTTAGAGAAGTGTCCCTTAGAGACTGAACGCAGTGTGTCGACAGTCTCATAGACAGGCAGGAATAGGTTCTATCGAGATTCGAACTCGAGTCGCTGGATTCAAAGTCCAGAGTGCTAACCACTACACTATAGAACCACGAAATGCAATTAGAGAAACTATTTCCGTACTAACATTGTTCAAAAGCCGAGTCCCACAGTAGTTCCTGCAGACTCCGCGGGGTGTCAAAAGCGATCTGTGTGTTTTGCATCTCGTTGTTGTTGTGTTGGCTACCGACCTCTCAGCCGCTCTCCACCCTCACTGGTCCCATCGTGCGGTATTGCCTGCTCTGTTCCCAGCCTTGGCCAGTACCCGCGCCTTCAGATGATCGGATGTGATGACTTCCGCCTTCCCACCCGACCTTAGTGGCACCTTGGGATGGACAGCTGATCACCGGTCAGGCCGCGACACGACACCCAATTCACACAAATCTCACCCCCGCATGGGTTACAGGCGATCGCAACTCACCCAGCTTATACAGAATCAATCAACATACTGACATTAGGTATATTTCTCGGGCGTTTGACCGGGGAGTGGTAACAGTTGTGTGGTGCTTAGAGAAGTGTCCCTTAGAGACTGAACGCAGTGTGTCGACAGTCTCATAGACAGGCAGGAATAGGTTCTATCGAGATTCGAACTCGAGTCGCTGGATTCAAAGTCCAGAGTGCTAACCACTACACTATAGAACCACGAAACGTAATTAGAGAAACTATTTCCGTACTAACATTGTTCAAAAGCCGAGTTCCACAGTAGTTCCTGCAGACTCCGCGGGGTGCCAAAAGCGATCTGTGTGTTTTGCATCTCGTTGTTGTTGTGTTGGCTACCGACCTCTCAGCCGCTCTCCACCCTCACTGGTCCCATCGTGCGGTATTGCCTGCTCTGTTCCCAGCCTTGGCCAGTACCCGCGCCTTCAGATGATCGGATGTGATGACTTCCGCCTTCCCACCCGACCTTAGTGGCACCTTGGGATGGACAGCTGATCACCGGTCAGGCCGCGACACGACACCCAATTCACACAAATCTCACCCCCGCATGGGTTACAGGCGATCGCAACTCACCCAGCTTGTACAGAATCAATCAACATACTGACATCAGGTATATTTCTCGGGCGTTTGACCGGGGAGTGGTAACAGTTGTGTGGTGCTTAGAGAAGTGTCCCTTAGAGACTGAACGCAGTGTGTCGACAGTCTCATAGACAGGCAGGAATAGGTTCTATCGAGATTCAAACTCGAGTCGCTGGATTCAAAGTCCAGAGTGCTAACCACTACACTATAGAACCACGAAATACAATGAGAGAAACTATTTCCGTACTAACATTGTTCAAAAGCCGAGTTCCACAGTAGTTCCTGCAGACTCCGCGGGGTGTCAATGGAGGTCCATTTATGGAGCGAGGTCAATGACGACTAAGACCGTTGTGTAGAGGGGGAGACAGTTGAGCGTCACAAAGAGCGCTAGAGTAGTCGAGCGCTCGCCGGGACGCTAGAACTTCTTACTTGAAGAGGCCCAGTTGCTGGAAGTCAGCACCTGATGGGATACGTAAGAGGCTTCTCCCGCCTGCCCGCACCCTCTAGAGGTATAGGGGCCTTTACAGCATCGTCAGTTCTGTCATAATGTATTTGGTTTAGACCAAAGCTCGAACTATGACTTACATTTTTGACGACGATGTAAAAGGCGCCATCGGGAAAACCAACAGCACCAGAGTGTCAACTCTCAGGTGTGTTTAGTCGCCGCAAATAGTGCGGATTATGGTTTTCCCCATGGCAACCACCCAAACCACTATACCTCTACACAACGGGATATCGGGAGGAATTGAAATGCGATCTGTGTGTTTTGCATCTCGTTGTTGTTGTGTTGGCTACCGACCTCTCAGCCGCTCTCCACCCTCACTGGTCCCATCGTGCGGTATTGCCTGCTCTGTTCCCAGCCTTGGCCAGTACCCGCGCCTTCAGATGATCGGATGTGATGACTTCCGCCTTCCCACCCGACCTTAGTGGCACCTTGGGATGGACAGCTGATCACCGGTCAGGCCGCGACACGACACCCAATTCACACAAATCTCACCCCCGCATGGGTTACAGGCGATCGCAACTCACCCAGCTTGTACAGAATCAATCAACATACTGACATGAGGTATATTTCTCGGGCGTTTGACCGGGGAGTGGTAACAGTTGTGTGGTGCTTAGAGAAGTGTCCCTTAGAGACTGAACGCAGTGTGTCGACAGTTTCATAGACAGGCAGGAATAGGTTCTATCGAAATTCGAACTCGAGTCGGTGGATTCAAAGTCCAGAGTGCTAACCACTACACTATAGAACCACGAAATACAATTAGAGAAACTATTTCCGTACTAAGATTGTTCCAAAGCCGAGTTCCACAGTAGTTCCTGCAGACTTCGCGGGGTGTCAAAAGCGATCTGTGTGTTTTGCATCTCGTTGTTGTTGTGTTGGCTACCGACCTCTCAGCCGCTCTCCACCCTCACTAGTCCCATCGTGCGGTATTGCCTGCTCTGTTCCCAGCCTTGGCCAGTACCCGCGCCTTCAGATGATCGGATGTGATGACTTCCGCCTTCCCACCCGAGCTCAATGGTACCTTGTGCTAACCACTACACAGTGTAGTGGTTAGCACAGAAGATAGGGTACACTATATACATATGTATATCATATACAGTATATGTATGTATACATATAGTGTAGTCTACACTATAGAACCACGAGAGATCTATGTATTTCGCATTCTATTAGTCTGTGTATTTCGCACTGCATTTCGTGTTGACTACCTGGCAGCTTAGTGGCTTGCAAACACAAAGCTCAGTGAGGTGCGAAATAACGCATGCATAATAAGGGTCATAACCGCACTTGAATCAGGTTGAATTGTAGGGCTTCCTCTCAGGGACACTCTTACGAAACACTGTCACCGGAGACCTCATTCTAACGTTCTTATCGGTTTTGCGATAATGTAACGACTGATTACGGCTCCCATTCACCTGTGAAATGTGCCGCGAAACACGCAACAGTTCAAGCCGTACCAGTGAGGGATGCTTGAAAGTGAGCTCCTCGGTGCCAAATAGCATGTTGTCTACTGCTTCAACACCCAGCATGCAGCTGTGATCCTGAAACAAGGTAAACTCCTCTACCACCAAGTTTCACATAAATCAATACTTGGTTGGCTATTTCGTACATCCAACTACCAAAGCGTCCTCTACTCCAGACACCCTTCTGCTGGAGAGAAGGCAGCACTTCTCGAAGCACGCCTGAGGAAAATGCCCTCCCTCATAGAAACGGTCAATTCTGCAGACCATCCCGTTCAAGATGTGGAGTGGGATACCCTCTCGCCAACCTCCGATGATAAACCGATACGATCTCGTCCTCTGGTTTGAGCAATGTCGTGCTAATACAACCCTACAAACAGAGTGTCCAAAAAGCGTGAAGTAGAAATTAAGTAACAACACCTGTATGGTCTCCTCGACAATACTGTCAATATTCACCACCTTGTGCTGGGCGGATTCGGAGACCTCGAGCATCAGCGACCAATACGGGCCAGGCTTAGCAACTGAGCCAACCCCATCTCAAGTCCAGTAGTTACTAAGAGCTACAAAATACCATTGCCGTCTGGAGGCGCCTCCCCCGATGCCAACGAGATGGTTTTCAGCTTCGTTTCTGGTGGAGGCACCTACTCCCCTGAGCTGTGCGAAAGCTCTGCCTTGATGAGCTCACATTCGCTTCGGCGTAAAGAGAAAAGACGGTAGCTCGATAGAAAGGGCAGTTGCTCTCGGGAAAGTACAACCAGCACTTAAGATCATGCGGGTTGATACCGCGAATTCCAAGACCAATCACATGAGTGCCTGCCACCAGCGAATTCCTCATATCACTGACGGCGACCCTCCAGGCACCAACTTGAGTATTCAAGCCGACTCCCAAGCTTCAAAGAATTCCCAAAACTCTCGCCTGTCAGCATCGATAGAGTGAGGTCTAGTGGAACCGTGCTGAGCAACTTCCCGTACCGAATGGTCGAACCTCGAATGATGACCCATCAATAACCAGCTCGTCCCACTTCATCCTACCATCATGAAAAGTCGCTATTCGATTGTCCAAATCGATCTGCTTCATCTCCTTTCCGTAATGTATCCGCTCCTGCGGCAATAATGCAGCAACTCCTTTCCAAATACCCCCAGTACCACCGCTAAAATATAGAAAAACAACAGGTCAGCATCTTTGAACGACTACACATTCAATGGTCACTATAAACACTTGAAAAAGAGGACAAGTACAAATCCAACAGGGATTAGATTCAGAGAGATGACTCACCGTTTGGGAAATCGGAAAACAGCGTTTGGCCCCCAACCAGCAGCAGGTTCATCGCGGAGGACATTCTCAATCACCTATAACAGCGATGACCTCGCAACGCTTCAGAGGCCTTATTCCCTCACTTTTTTGGCATCAACTGTCGCAACACGTTCGCCAAGCCAGTCGCACTGCATCTCCGTGGTAGGATAAGCCCATACCTTAAATCAGTGAGAAAAAAATGCACATACCCAACTACATGTGTTGGTGACAATATGAAAATTCCGATGAAATTTTGGGAAATTTCTGTTGGTTTCTGTATACTTCGACCCGGAATGGTGTGTAAACTTCTATAATTAGTGAGGAAACTCCTGAGTTCGGCTGAGGAAAGCGAACATATATTCCAACACTCTCTAAGAACACCAAAAAAACTTATTTCCGAACTGAGAGTCTCTAGTTATAAATACTACCAAAATATGTTCGACAAGCTAAACGCCTTTACACTGATCTTGAATGCCAATCTCACTTTGAAGTTGTACGGCCGCATGAAGAGGTTGGCAATTCCATCACCCATCACGCGGAGTATCCACTCATCAAAGGTAGTCGGCTTTTCTCGCTGTGACGATGCGGACAACTTAGTCGCCTGACAGCAGCCTCAGCCATACAGGATGCAGGGGAACGCCTTGTTTACTTCGATAACGCCATTGATGCACTCAATCTTGTCCTCCAGGGGTAGACAGTAGAGATTGTTCTGGAAGGGGTATGGCACCCACCTGGACCACACTGGTCTCTTGGGCGAGCCAAAAGGGTTGCTGCCTCACCTTTCTCTTATCCATACATAGCTGACTCGCTGATGAACGTTCCAGTACTCGGGGCCAGATCCTACTGCCGCATCGAGTAGCTCGTCGAAATAGTCGTAATGGCTGATGCACAAAGCATTTGCCTTGGAGAGAGATTGCTCTTCAAGAAATGATATCGCCACGGCGTTATTCACGACACGAGTCGTGACGAGAATGATTCTCACCTGAATATAACATGACCACCCATGTCAAAGAGGAACTTCTCTGCAGTCTCGTCCGTACACGCCAAACCACCTTGATGACCAACTTAGTGATCGAACAGAATTCACCTTTCATTCCTACCTGCCGCAGATCCTGCTTCCACAAGTGCCCACGATTCTACACCATGCTGATTCAGCCGAGTTGCTGCTCCCAATCCTGTAGGCCCTGCGCCTACTACCAAGAAGTCGACGCGCATGTCTGCAGAGATAGTCATTTACAAACAAACCTACTTTCATAAAGCTCCCATTAACATTAACGACATTCACTGTTATTAACAATCGATTACTAACCGAATCCAATCTTCCGAAATTTGCACTTGAGCTTCGGTGCCACGGAACGGTGGCTGGCTGC